GAGAAAATACGACAGTGAACCCAGAGAAAAGATGACAGTGAACCAAGAGAACAGAGAGTAAACCCAGAGAAAAGAAGACAGTGAACTTAGAGATAAGATGACGGTGAACCAAGAGAAAATACAAGAGTGAACCCAGAGAAAATATGACAGTGAACCCAGAGAAAAGATGAGAGTGCACCCAGAGAAAAGACGACAGTGTTGGTAGAGAAAATTCGACAGTGAACCCAAAGGAAACATGACAGTGAACCCAGAGAAATGATGACAGTGCACCCAGAGAAAATGTGACAGTGAACCAAGAAAAACAATGATGGTGAACCGAGAAAAAAGATGATGGTACATCCAGAGAAAAGACAATGGTGAACCCAGAGAAAAGACGACAGTGAACCCAGAGAACAGACAGTGAAACTAGAGAAAAGACGATGGTGAACCAACAGAAAAGACGACAGTGAACCCAGAGAAAGAAAAGACAACAGTTCACCCAGAGAAAAGATCATCATGAACCCAGAAAAAAGATGATGGTGAACCCAGAGAAAAGGCAACAGTGAACCCAGAGAAAAGGTGACAATGAACCCAGAGAAAAGTTTACAGTGAACCCAGAGAAAAGACAATGGTTCACCCAGAGAAAAGACGATGGTGAACCCAGAAAAAAGATGATGATGAACCCAGAGAAAAGAAGACAGTGCACCCAGAGTAAAGTTGATGGTAAACCCAGAAAAAAGAGGATGGTGAAATCAGAGAAAATACAACAGTGCACCTACAGAGAATATGACAGTGAACCCAGAGAAAATACAACAGTGAACCCAAAGATAGTAAGACAGTGAACCAACCCAGAGAGAAGACGATGGTGCACCCAGAGAAAAGATGATGGTGCACCCAGAGAAAAGATGACGATGAACCCAGAGCAAAGTCGACAGTGAACCCAGAGGAAAGATGACAGTGAACCTAAAGAAAAGATGACTGTGAACCCAGAGCAAAGACAACGGTGAACCTAGGGAAAAGATGGCAGTGAACCCAGGGAAAAGTCAACAGTGAACCCAGAGAAAAGGTGACAGGGCACCCAGAGAAAAGACAATGGTGAATCTAGAGAAATTTGGACAGTGAATCCAGAGACATGATGACAGTGCACCCGGAGAATATACGATAGTGAACACAGAGAATCAACAATGGTGTACCCAGAAAAAAGACAAGGGTGCACCCAGAGAATTGACAGTGGTGAACCCATAGAACATATGAAGTGAACCCAGAGAAAAGAAGATGGTGAAACCACAGAAAAGTTGATGGTGAACCCAGAGAAAAGACAACACTGAACCAAGAGAAAATACAACAGTGAACCCAGAGAAAAGACGACAGTGCACCCAGAGTAAAAGACGATGGTGAACATAGAGAAAATTCGACAGGAACCCAGAGAAAGGATGACAGTGAACCCAGAGAAATGATGATGGCATACCCAGAGAAAATATGACAGTGAACCCACGAAAAAAACAAAGATGAACCTGGAGAAAATATCATGGTGCACCCAGAAAAAAGACGACAGTGAACCCAGAGAAAATATGACAGTGAACCCAGGGAAAAGACGACCTTGCATCCAGAGAAAATACAACAGTGAACCTAGAGAAAAGACGACAGTGAACCCAGAGAAATGAAGATGGTGCACCCAGAGAAAATATAACAGTGAACTCAGAGAACAGACAGTGAACCCAGAGAACAGATGATGGTGAATCCAGACAAAAGATGACAGTGAACCCAGAGGAAAGACAATGGTGAACCCAGAGAAAAGACAACAGTGAACCTAGAGAAAAGACAAAAGTGAACTCAGAGAAAAGACGATGGTGAACCCAGAGAAAAGATGACAGTGAACCCAAAAGGAGATGACAGTGAACCCAGAGAAAAGATGATGGTCAATGTAGATAAAATTTGACAGTGAACCCAGAAAAAATATGACAGGGAACCCATAAAAACAATGATGGTGAACTCAGAGAAAAGATGACTGTGCACCCAGAGAAAAGATGATAGAACCCAGAGGAAAGACGATTTTGCACACTGAGAAAATACAACAGTGAACCCAGAGTAAAGATGACAGTGAACCCTAAGAGAAGATGACAGTGAACCCAGAGAAAAGATGACAGTGAACCCACAGAACAGACAGTGAATCCATAGAAAAGACAATGGTGAACCCAGAGAAAAGATGACGGTGAACCCCTAGAAAAGACGACAGTGAACATAGAGAAAATTCAACAGTGAACCCAGAGAAAAGATGACAGTGAACCCAGAGAAATGATGATGGTGCACCCAGAGAATATGACAGTGAACCCAGAAAAACGACGGTGAACACAGATTAATGAAGATGGTGCACCCAGAGAAAAGATGGCAGTGAACTCAGAGAACAGAGAGTGAACCCAGAGAAAAGACGATAGTGAAGCCAGAGAAAAGCCGATGGTGAACCCAGAGAAAAGATGATGATGAACCCAGGGGAAAGATGATGGTGAACCCTGAATAAAGATGACAGTGAACTGAGAGAACAGACAGTGAACCCATGGAAAAGACAATGGTGAACCCACAGAAAAGATGACAGTGAACCCATAGAAAAGACAATGGTCAACATAGAAAAAATTTGACAGTGAACTCAGAGAAAAGATGGCAGCGAACCCAGAGAAATGACGATGGTACACCCAGAGAATGTGACAGTGAACCCAGAAAAACGACGACGGTGAACCCAGAGAAAAGATGATCATGAACTCAAAGAAAATATGACATTGAACCTAGAAAAATGATGACAGTGAACCTAGAGAAAAGATGACAGTGAACCTAAAGAAAAGATGACAGTGAACCTAGAGAAATGTCAGTGGTGAACTCTTGAGAAAAGATGATGTTGAACTCACAGAAAAGATGATAGTTCACTCAGAGAAAAGGGAACAGTGAACCCCAAGAAAAGCCTCAGAAAACGATCCAGGACAAAATCCATCCTGCGATCAGATGCCCCACAGTTAGTGATATTTCTGCCACTGGTGGAAGTTTCTTGTTCATTTGATCTTTGATTTATGCAAAGATCTGGTTGTACCTGGAAGATGGGAAGAGTGGGGACCACAGTTCATGACTATTCTGAGGAAGTTTGCATTCATTCATTTACTGCTACATCCACATAGCTCACAGCATGGTGGCCCAAAAAATTTTGTCAATGACCGAGGATGACATCAGGAAGATAACGTAATTTTCAAATGTGGTTTTCCTGAAACCAAGTCAACTATAGCTGATATGTTTTTATTTCATTGGTTAATATTTACATGGGAAAAACCAATATTATACTTTACTGAACTTTGTGTAATTACTCCGATTTTTTTGATACCTGTTTGACTTACCATGGGGTTGACATGATGAATTTATTGCACATTGTTCAAAAGGAACCAGGAGGTTTTCGTTCAGCACCATAATATAAATTTCTTTGTGGATGGTAACTGCAAATGGAAAAACTTTTGCTATAAAATGAAATGCTTCCTTAAATCAGACATTTTGGTCAAGTAGTTTGACTTAGTACAGGTAGGGAGATATTTAAATATAAAATACAATGAAAGAAGGCTAAATATTTAGAATCTTGGTTTAGATCCTGTAAGTAACTAATAATCCATAAGCAATGCAATATTGCTCTACTGGGTCCTTTTGACATTTATATCATCATCTAGTTTTCCATATTGAATAAATTTACAGATTTAGTTTATATAACTTGAACTTATGAAGCAATGGATATTTCTGCGGTTTAATGTCTTGTGATGCAGAACTCTTGAAAAAACTTGTTTTATAAAATCAAGCTTTAAGTGAAAAACAAAGAAATAAAGTTAAATGTGTGTGTTTTTTTTAAAGAAGTTCTGGTGATCTATTGCATAGCATGGTGACGACAGTCAATAATAATGTATTGCATATTTCGAAATTGCTAAAATAACATATTTTCAATGTTTTCTTCACAAAAAAATGTGCAGTAATAAGTTATTTAGCTTGATTCTATCATTCCACAATGAAAACACATATCAAAACTTCACATTGTACCTAATAAATATATACAATTAGGGTTGACATTCTTTTGAAAGAGGCAAGACTAAGCTGCTGCGAACAGGGATGCAGAGTGGGTGGCACAATGGCAAAGAGCAAGGGTCAGTGTCAGGGTCAAGACAGTAACCTCTAACCGTGGCTGGGTGCACATGGAGGCTGTGTGTACAGCTGACAAAGCCTATGATCTGAGCTGGGTGTGGGGGCCTGCCTGTAATCCCAGCTACTGGGGAGGCTGAGGCAGGAGAATCACTTGACCTGGGAGGTGGAGGTTGCAGTGAGCAGAGATCGCGCCAGTGCACTCCAGCCTGGGCGACAGAGTGAGAATGTTTTTAAAAAAAAAAAAAAAAAAAAAAAAAAATGGAAAAGCAAAAGGCCTATGACTTGACCTGCAAGGAGTTCAGAAAAAAAGACAAGAGAAAAAACATGTTCCAGGGGTTTCGACATGAGGCTGGAATGAATACTTTGTTCATTGCCTGTTTTCATGCATTTATACATTTTATGGTCTCAACCCTGTTCCAGGAAGGATTTAAAGGACGCAAGTAAGAATGCAAGTACCTCAAGGCTGTTCCAATTTTAAATGTCAGTTCAGCTCCTAGTTTATGGGGTTTGGCAAATCGAGTTAAGGGCTTTATCCACAAATAGACATTCCAGTGAGACTAAATCAAGCAACTGGAATCACATGAAAACGAGAGACCAGATTCTATTCTCCCTCCATTTTTTGAAATCTTCCCTTCTTTAGCAGCAGCTGGGTTTCAATGACTCTTCAGGTGTAAAGGTCAACCTCCTAGAAATGGGAAAGCCTGTGTTGTCACGAAGGATGGTTTTATGTAAGCATTGGAAGTTTTCTGGCAAGAAAAGCCTCAGGCCATCTGTCAGAAAAAGCTGCCACATCTGGGCAGTGTCTCTCCTAGGGTGAAACGCGCGCAGATTAAATTGAAGTAATAATCAGCTCACCTACAGTCTCAGACGAGACAGGAAGCTTATATGCACGGCATGTGCCTTCGGTGCCCAGGCTATGGAGGAAAGAACACAGACAGTCTTCCTGAAGTGGGGCAGATAAAACTGCTGAAAGTGAAGGAGAATTAAGGTGATACCTGGTGATCATTCAAAAAGCCTCGGACTTCCGCTCTTAAGAAGATGGAACAGGCGTGCGTTTGCCTCCTTCCCGCAGGTGCAACTGGAAACCTCCGGCAGTGCCCATCAAACAAACGCAGGAAGAGGAGGGGCGGAGAGAGGAAGCCCGGGGGAGCCGGGGGACCCTGAGAACGATAGAGTGGGGCGTTCCTGGGTTTTCTTTTTGACTCTTCCACCCCAAACTGGGTGCTCACGAGCGCAGGAATAGCCCCCGCTGCTGCCTCCAGCCAGGGCACCGGAAGAGGTGCGGTTCCAGGAAACATTTCAAGGACTCTGGGAAAATGGGTGGAGATCTCTGAATGTGAAAAACCTTCAGGAGACTGGAAGTGTTTTGAAGTTGAAGGTTATGATTCTTTCTCATTTTGTTTCCAAACAGGACCCCCATTTCTCTTAATGTAGGATTGGAGGGCACAAGCGGAGGAGCAAAGGGGTGTCACGGTCAGAATCGCCTAAAAGGCAACGAGGAGCAGAAGCGCAGGCCTGCGAGGTGCTCTTCAGAGTGACTTCGCTGTGGGCTGTGGAAGGCAACAGAAGGAACTCGGCATCCACTGGCCACATTCTCCTCCCCGGAGCTGAGGACAGAGTTGAGTCTCTTCAGGCAGTGGATCCAGCCAGCTCTGCCACGGGGAAGGGGCGCGCAGCTGCCACGCACCGCAGGCGGCGCTGACACACTTGGCCTTTGAGCAACACTGTGAATCATCTAGAAACAGCAGACAGCTCTAAAACACATTACCCAGCAACATGGCACATTTTCCAGGGTAGACCATATGCTACCCTATGCTATAAGAGAAGCTGTAATATATTTCAAAAAATTGAAATAATAAAAAGGACATTATCTGACTAAAATTGAATGAGATTAAACATCAAAAACAACTTGGTAAATTTACATTTACATAAAAAAACATACAAATTTACATATTTACATATATGGAAGTTAAATAACACATTCTATATTAAACAGTGTATCAAAATGAAATTACAAGAGAAATTAGAAAAGACTTTGAGATTATTGAAAATAGATACCAAAACTAATGGGATGTGGGTGATGCAGTGCTTGGAAAAAAAAAAAAATTATAGCTGTAAATACCTCAATAGTCTAAACTTCCATCTCAACACAATGGACAAGAGAGGAAACTAAACCTAAATAAAATAAGTAGAAAGAAGGAAATCATAAAATGAAGAGTAAAATTAATAAAACAAAGTATAAACAATAAAGACTATCAAAAAAACCCAAAAGTTCATTTGTTTTAAACATTAACAAAAAAAATACTAAAATCAGGAATAAGAGTTAAAATATTCCTGAAATTACAAAGAAATGCTATGAACAACTGTAAATTAAAAAATTTAGTTAACTTTGATAAAATGGGAAATAGAAAAATACCAACTACTGTAATTGATTCAAGAAGAAATAGAAAATCTAACCTGTAACAAGTAAAAAGATTGAATTAGTAATTAAACTAACGAAAATTAACACTATGAAATGCCCAAGCCTAGATGACTTCACTGGGGCATTGTAACAAATATTTAAAGCAAAAGTAAGAGTAGTTATTCACCACCTCTTCCAGAAATGCAAGAGCAGGGAACATTTCCCAACTCATTTTAGGAGGCCATTAATACAACAATACCACCACCAGACAAATCACAAAAAAACTATAGGCAAATCTATGTTTTCGATCTAAACACAAGAACCTTCAACACAATGATATCACACTAAATTCAGCAGCATATAGAAAGGTTTATATAGCATGACCAGGTGGGATTTATTGTAAGAATATAAGGTTGGTTTAATATCTTAAAATCCACTAATGTAATTTACATTACATTATGTAATTTTTACATTATGTAAAAATGTAATTTTTTATTTATTCTATTAATGTATCAATAGAATAAATAAAAAAGAAAATGCATGATAATGTAAATAGTTGCAGGAAAAAAAGCATGTTACAGAATATCACAACTCTTTATGACAAAAGCACTCAACAAATGAAGACTACAAGGAAACTTCCACAATCTAATAAGGGAAATTAAAAACAAAATAAGAAGAACAAAGAAATATAACTAATATTATACTTAATGGTGAAAGACTGAAAGACTGGAATGGCAAATCAAAACAATGAGATAACAGTTTACACCCACTTGTATAGTCTAATCATAGACTTTCCATATGATCCAGCAATTCTGCTTCTAGTATATACTCAAAAAAATGAACATATATGTTCATACAAAAATTTGTAAGTGAATGTTTGCACAGTTTTGTTTGAAAGAGTCAAAAAGTTGAAGCAACTCAAATGCCCATGGACTGATGAATGGATATGTAAAATTTGTTATATTCATACAATGAAATGTCATTTAGCAACAAACAAAAATGAATTACTTGAATATGGATGAACATCAAAAATGTTTTGACAAGGAAAAGAAGTCACGTCACAAAAGATACATATAGTAGTGCTCAACAAATACTTGTTTAATGAAACAATGATTTTCAGAAAGTTTTTTATTTATTAAGAAAATTATCCTTCATTTTGTGATGTAATTTCCTTTTTTTCTGATTTTGTGATTCTCCTTTGTTTGCCATCGTTTTTTGACATCCAAAGAATCTTGGCATTTTTGCAGTTGAAATGATCAACACTTTAATGAGTTCTTGATATTTTCTCATAATTAATACTAACAATGGAGACTGATAAATTTTGTAAATACAAGTATTTTATATAAAATTAAGTTTCTCTATATCAGTTGCAACATCTAGAAATTATATATGTGATACTACCTGTTATAATGTCAAAATATATGCAAAATCTTAGAATTAACAAAAGATGCTCTAATTATCTGTTAAAAAGATCCTCTATACGCCACTAAGCTCAATGAAAAAGAGAAAATTATATATACTCTGAATAAATGGAAAGATAACGCATGGACTTAAATATTAGGCCTTAAATTAGCTAAGATATGAATTCTTCCCAAATTAATTCACACATTTAATGCAATAATAAAAATATTACAGGTTATTTTAGAAACTATGTTATATATATTTATAAATAATATTTTATAAATTATAAAGTCATATTTGTAAAGGAAGACTAATGGGGTGGGACTTCATGAACCATATGGTATGACAGACTACAAAACCCATATGGGTGCCTTTAAAGGAAAAAAGAATAATGGGTCAACAGAGAGCTCTGACAACAACCCAGGTATATATGGATCTTGATATATGAGAAATTTGGCTATAATTTCATTTGAACATACAGGGTTCTTTAGTAAATGGCATTGAGGAAATGGCTCATTATAAGACCCTAAATGAAACTGGCTTACATCCTTATACTTTATGTAGAGGAGACACTAAATGTGTATAGGGATCTAAAAGTAAAAGATAAAATGATGATATAAATGAAAGACATGTAGAAAAATATCCTTGTGATTTGAGGATGGAGAAATTTTCCAACTAAAGTCAATTTATAAAGCAAAATAATGATGATATTATAATAATAGACACTAATAATGGTGATGATGTTAACAGACACAAAGTTGATGAATAATGTGTAAACATTTTTCTTTTAAAGTGTATTTTAAATGGGTGCAGATTAAAATTCATAATATAAATGATGTATTTCACACAGGTCTGCCTATTATCACATTTTTTTGCCCTGAAATGTTCAAAAAAATTTCTGGGAATTTATAAAATGTTTAATGATCCAAAAAAAAATAATAATAATAATAAAATTGCCGGGCGCGGTGGCTCAAGCCTGTAATCCCAGCACTTTGGGAGGCCAAGACGGGTAGATCACGAGGTCAAGAGATCGAGACCATCCTGGCTAACACAGTGAAACCCCGTCTCTACTAAAAAATACAAAAAAAAACTAGCCAGGCGAGGTGGCAGGCACCTGTAGTCCCAGCTACTCGGGAGGCTGAGGCAGGAGAATGGCGTAAACCCGGGAGGCAGAGCTTGCAGTGAGCTGAGATCCAGCCACTGCACTCCAACCCGGGCAACACAGGGAGACTCCGTCTCAAAAAAAAAAAAAAAAAAAAAAAGGGAGACTCCGTCTCAAAAAAAAACAAAAAAAAAAAAATTACACCAGCCATAATTGTTACTTAAGACCAGGAAAGATTTGTCAATTATGGATGATAATTTCTTTTTTTTTTTTTTCATTTTATTTTTATTAAGCACTACATAACACATTGTATGTTACATAATACACTGTATAACCTTCTAGCAGGGGTAGATGGCCATAACTGAGTTATTTTTTTCATCAATCAGGAAAATGCTTCCTTAATCAATGTTCTCCAAACCCTTTGACACATAGTGACGATTAACTCCAGAGATGCGCCTATCTCTTTCCATCAGATTCCAGTGATACCCAAAATGAGCAATCCTTTTTTCCTTGCCCCCGTTAGTGAACCTCTAGATGTACGCAGTAGCCACTCCTGGAATAAACAAGCACACGCCCATGGCGGCGAGTCCCGGGAGAACCTCGAACCACATCTCTGCCCCGTTATCTAGGCCAAAACCCTGGGGACGATAATTTCTTAATACCAGGCCCAGACTGTGAAGTGTTCATGAATCCCACCTCTTTTTGAAGCCTCAAATTTATGTCTAAGTCACCAATCCCTACTTGCTACCAGAAATATTATAACAGAATAAAATATATTCATTTGTACATTATTATTTTGAATATCCTCTAATTAGAAGACATTGTTCAAAATGTTATGACAATGAGACATGATACCTGTCCTCAGGTAGTGTGCTATACATAGATAACATTATATACTCTTCAGAACACACTCCATAGTTGTTCTATTTCATTTAGAAAGTGAACACATTTTTAAAGTACTAAAGTAATTATTTTTTCACTTTCTGAATATACGAGTTGCTTGATTATGTGTCTTCTGGCTTTCTTTCTGGAAGTTTTAAATTAAACCTGTTTCCTTTACAGGCTATTTTAGGAGATTCACATTTTCTGTGTAATGTTAAATTTAACCAAAACATAATTTTTCAGTTATAAGCAAAAGTTCTATTTTAAAATGTAAAATCTAAAAGTTCATAAGAAAATCAGGTATACTTTCAAAAACTATTTCTATAGAGTCAGTAGGCTTGTATAAATAGAACTTTATGTGAATTTGCCACAAAAATATAGTATAATTTTACCAGGAGTTTCTTAAATTATTTCTTATCCAAGAAGTCTAATAATTATTTATTGTAAGACTGTTGCAATTTCTGCCATGATGTCAGTGATTTATTAACAAGTTGAATAGTTTGTTTTAGGTTTATTTATTCATTTTTGCTATATTATGCAAACTTTTCTGCCTTCAAGTAAAAGTTTCATATGCTTACATTTTAACTTCAAAACAAAGAGGATATAGAACTACATATGAAAGTGTCATTGAATATATTTTTGGGTTTGGGCCAGTCTTGATACCACTGGATCAAGTGTCTAAATCTTTTTGTCTAAGGCAATTACATGCACTGACATATTTTCTCTCTTTATTATGCCTCAGAAAACAAAATAATCTTGCTTCTTAAATCCTTATAGTAAAATGATATAGAAATCATTCCTTTAAACAATTCTAGAGTACATATCATTGTATTATCCATACACATACCGAAATTATTATGATAAGCTTCATTAAATGAAGTGCTTTGGGATAATAAACTTTCAACTCTCATATGGGTTGAAACTTAGCTCATCTATACACAATTATCTTCCATATATTTTTCCCAAATACATATGTCATGTACTTAAAATAAAAGTTTGACTATATTATAGCTTCAGATTTTATGACTTTTCATACTTTAATTTCATATCTCAA